TGTTGTTCGATGTCGTTGTTGTCATTGATATCATTAGTGCTGTGGATGGTAGCTCGAAGTTCTTCATAGATTTCACTTCCAATACGTTTTTCATCTTTCATTAACACTGTTCGCGAAGTCTGCAATTTCATTTTACACAGAGACAAGCATCAAGAAGGTTTGATTGAACATATCATGAGTCTGGTGAATTTGTGCATGCAACAAAAAATATGAACCAAAAATTCAACGAGGAGTGCTTTTGAGTTTGCACGGCTCAACGCAGCTCGCGAATGTATTGATTTTGATTTTGTTTCAGTAATAAATCAATTAAATATTCTCACAAAATCATATGCAGTTAATTTTTTTTAAATTCACTTTTATGACAAGAACGTTGTGTGTTGATAATAATGAGTAGCATCGATTTCGAGAAGAAAGTTAGCAGACCTTATGTGAGGGAATTGGTGAGACCATGATTTCACAGAGATCTGCAGCAGCTCGATTTGCTGCGGGTTTGTTCATTTGATGGAGTTTGAATATGTGCTCTTGCATATCTCTTTTCGACTCTTCATAATTCATGTAGGTAAATTCCGAACGACTGCCTCAAATTTCTTCATCTTAATTCGTTAACTTAAAATGTCTTCAGTTTGATAATGTTCCGATTTTGGTATATGGAATGTTTTCATACGTTGTGGAATTGTTAGGAATGTTTTTCAATTGTCCATCAGTAAGGTGTACCGCTTAGCAACATGCCATCCTGGAACTGTAGCCGCAGGGCGGTCATAGCTGCCTGAATCTCGATTCAGTAATCATTGACCATGAAAAAACATGGCATTGCAAGTAGGTGAGGTCATGAGTGTTTTCTTTTCTCAATGTATCAGTACCTTCTCCCCGCCCTCCCCCCCCCCCNCAGCTCTAATCGCCATTTAGTTTACGGTTCTATTTAAGATTATGTTATAACCTCAATGAATTTGTGAGGAATTCTTAAGGTTTGCGAGTTTGTGGAATGTGCGGTGAATATGAAAAGTATACTGAATAGATGTGTAAGATTGATAACAACAGTGAAATTGAAATCAAAAACTCACTAAAATTCGCTTTTGGTGGCGTTAAATTGAGTGGTTGTTCGCCTTCAATAACGACTTCGTCTAACATTCTACCGACTTCTGAATTTGATCACCGATAATAATAGTGACTAGTGAATGTGCGATACTCAATGCAGTCAGTATAACACTTCTTGTGAAATTGCATCTTTTTGAAAGTGAACTGAATTTAAGTTCATGCCAAGGAAAACTTCAATTAACACGAGTGCCGCCCTTTGACACTGCACTCACTTAAACGATTTTTAATCCAGGTTATCTCTTTTGTTTATTTTCTTGATTAACGTATTTGTTTATGTAAACATTCGATCGGTTTCCTTGTTCGTTCGTTCGATCAAGATCTATTCATTTAGGTGATATTCAAGTAATATTTGTTGATTCGTATCTTAATGAACGATAATTTGTATGCGAATATAGTATTGCTGAAACACTCACGGTCAATTCGTATTGGCTCAATGAGAAGAGTGTTGTCTGTGGACATATCCAACGAATTTGATGTTGTATTACTCTTCAGTGCATCAATCATTGGATAGTTGTTCACTCTGTGAAAATCTTCCCAATTTTGATTTTATAATTTTAGCGAGCATCAGCCAAAAGACGTCTTGCACAACAACGGTGGCATAGAATGCTAGCAAATGAATGTAAAACTGATCGCTACTCACAAATTTCTTCATGAAATTATCTGAATGTTTCGACTGGAAATTGTTTGAAGATTTTTCAGTTCAATCTTATGAACCATGTGGATGAAGGAGACGACTGACTGACAGGCAGTGAACACAACAGAGATGCATTCAGATGTAGAAAGCCTCTTCTTTTCAAACACTTCAGTTTCTCACGTTGATAAACACATCTAGTGTTCTATTAAGCAAAGCATGAGAGCACTGAATATTTCCTATCTTAACAACTACACTCCACACATATTGGATGCTTATAGTTTCTCGGTAANAAAAATCGAAATGGTCGGACGACAAGAAGGAACGTTCAACTTGTCGCTGTACTAGAAACTTCGAGTGGTTTACGCTAGCGCCAGATACTGTAATATATTTTGTTAAGATTTTGTGCGTGGAGCTGGCGCGCGGAGTGGTCTTTCATTGGTGTAAACCACATTTCAGAAATCCGTGGTTATCATGTTTTTGGCGTCACTCGATTGTTCGTATCAATTGAAATTCTTAGAAATCGAATGTGTAAAGTTAGTTGATTGTTGATCATTTGCACTGCATTGGTAAACCAGCCTTTCATCCGAGCATTTCTTCATCAATTGCGTGTTATTTTCCGTTTGGGCGCCCATATTTGTGTTTGTCGCCGCAGTATTTGCAGCTTTTCTTGTTGGCTCGAAATTGATTTTCTGTGAAAAGAGAAACAAAATATTTTGAGATTGTTCGAATTCACTGACCAGTTTCGTTTATTCGATGAATTCATCTGACAGAATTCAAACGATAGTATAAGCTTTCCCATAACTATTCATCACAGGTACATGAAATCTGATTTACCCAACTCACTTAATTTGTTCTTAGAAAATAAATTTGTTTCAAAACTCTCATAACATCAATCGTTATTCATGATTCTTAGGCAATGAAACTTGAATGTTTCATTCTCAGTCGGACATGGAAAAAGAGGAGATTAATAATAACTACCGCATCAATGAGTTCAGTTTGTTGGTCGTGAGCTGGCGTTTTAATATCAGACGACGTTGGTTTTACTTCTGTTTCAGGTTTCTAAAAATTCTCATGCTTTCAGTAATCGAGTCATTCTTCGGGTAATTTTCCGTTGTCTGTCTCCAATCGAATTTTGGTCATGAGCAATCGAACTGATCGTTCTCAGAATCAGCTGCATATTTACCTTTTTCAAGCAAACAATAAAGGAAAGCTCATATGATATTAAACAAGAACAGACTAACCAATTGTCTAAGAATGCGATCATTAAGACATTTCTTGTCCCCCAAGAGTGCTACCTTTGCCTTTGTGGTTGTCTTACAAACGACTATAATTAACGGAACAATCCATAACGCAGTTAATAAACAAAACGGTAAACAACCCAACCATATCATCGTATAAAATGCAATGCTAGTCTTCGATTATTGAACTTCTGGTTCTTTTGACAAAATATTTTATATGCATATTTTACTGAACAGATAATGCATTATGCGAACCACTTTTGGGGTTTCCTATTTGAATTCGACACTCTGCAACCATTCTTCGTACTGTTGCAACCGACCGCGACACTCTTGTAATCATCATCGATACACTTACAAACAACCCCGATACTCGTCTCATTATCATCGCCACCCTCGCAACCGACCGCAGCACTATATATCCCAAACAATTTGACCGGTATATTCAAATTTCTAATATTCCATACTATAAGGAGAGCTTCGAACCTTCGATGTTTTCACTTTTCGAATGTGCAGAATCAGCACGAAGCACCTGTGATTAAAGAGAAGCACAGGAGCCATAGTTACAGGGGCTTCTGGTTTCAAGTTTCAAGCAGCGCATTCAACGATTGCATTCGTTTAGGTATTTATTTAGTCATGACTGAATAACTGCTTGCACGAACTCGCTCACTGATGAATATTGTGGTTTTTCACCGTATTGAAAAGGTCTGACGAATGGTTTGAAAAAAGACTTATTGTTAATGATTGTTTATTACAAACAAAACATTCGAAAATGCAAAGCAATGGTATGATTATAAAATGAAACATAACACAAAGATAACAAATTAGACTAGATTAAATCAAATTCATGCGGTTCTAATTCACAATCAGTAACTGAGAGTGTATGAAAATGATTCTTTAGCAGCAGAATTTCTTGGGCGATTGAATAATAATTTTTGGATGGAGAATATGGAGTTTTAGTCGATGTGACATAGCAGGAAAAGCAAAGAAGCCTTAGGAAAACCTTCGTTAGTAATAATCACTGGAATGCCGGGTCGCGTTTAGTCCTCTACACGTGTTCCCTGCAGGCATCATGGAAATAAGTTCTACGTCTTATGTTTAGTGTTGAAAGTTTATGTTAAAGAAAAAGAATCTTTTGTGTTCTATGTTGTTCCATGTGATATGTTCATTGCTGTAAGGTTGGAGTAAGAGAACTTTAAATTTAGGTAAAGAATGCATGAATATATCAACTCAGTGGAAAATGGGACTTCGATCCTTATGAATGGGTTATTTTTTGTGTTATATAGAGAGAGAATATTTTTTGTGTTATATAGAGAGAATATGATTAATTGTCAGCTCAGGAATGGTGAATTTTAACCTGCAATGAATTATTTAGTTAAGGTTCACGATGTTTATCTTGTCAAAAAAAAANAAAAAAAAATTAATCGAAATTATCAATTGTTCCTTGAAGTGGCTGAATTCATGTACTGGATTTGTGCAATGTTATTGTTTGAAGATTGAAGTCGCAAGCAGAATGATGATAAGAGGCATCGATACGGTAAGTGCTGCTGAAGTGCTTGAGGCTTTGGGTGTTGCTGTGGGTGTTGCTAAAAATAATCATTTCAGTAACCACTGGCACTAAAACTAATTTGGCAATGAGTGAAAATTGCTCTGCTAATACTTACATTTGCCACAAATCTCACAGAATGGTAACATGATTAATATAACCAATTGAGAATCAAATACAAATTTGCCTGAGGATTTCGAGAACGAATTTCACTTCCATTCCTAAAGCTACAGCTTAGTTTCCCAAATTACACCCGAGATTGCTCTGTTTTTGTTACAATGAGCAATGGATGTTTGAACAAAAGGCTTGCGATCAATGATAACATTTATTCAATTGTTCCATTTGTGTGGTTGTTTTTGAATTGAAGGCATATGATCTTTTCATACTCGGTATCCATTCACTTGCTCCACTGACGGTACACTCTGCCGGTAAGTGTCACTTACCAGTTATGATGCATTTGTATAATTCACATTAACGGCTAAATGAAATACAGAAACGAATAGAGTTCACGCGAAGAGATCAAGTACAAAAACATCATATGTCTTAAGAGCGAAAGACTTATAGTCTCAGTTCCTTACCGCTTGATTTGAAGGATCACAGTGCTCTGACTGTATAAAGTTTCAGAAACTGAAGCAATCATCGATCGCAAGTTGCTTTCAGATTATTATGAAAGTGGAAACCTGGCGTTGAGGTTGGTGAAGCTTGAGGTGTTTCCTTTTTTGGGGTGGTTGTTGGTGGCGTAGTCAATGGTTTGGTGGTTGCTGGTGGCTTAGTCAATGGTTTTTGCGTTGACGGGGTGAGAACGGGCGGCTAAAGATTATAAATATTTACTTGGTTTTATTAACTGCCAAAATGCATTCACATCTCAAACGATGTGTTCGCGTTGTGTTTATATAACGTTAACAATCATATACAAACTGGTCTAACCACTGACAAGTTCATATTCTATGACCTCCTTCAAGAACCTTGATCCTCATGAAAATAAAAAAGTATCCAAACTTAATTTTTCATCCACTTAGTCGTGCCATCACTGTCATACTTTGTGTCCTTACAATACGCCAATAACGGTGTACTCCAATTTGAGCACAGTGGTGGTTGTTTGAAAGCAATTACTATCACATGAGGTTGAACAGTTTCAACATTTGAAATGTAAACTGACCTGATATTCAGGCAACAGCGGTTCTCGTGTTAGACTGAATGTTGTCATCTTGCTGTAATTACCGGTGTTTTGAATGAAATTCGTGAACATTTGCAGCGCTGGACCAGGGCGATCAGTAGGCACATAATGACCAGCACCCTACAAGCGATTTATACGTTGGCAGTACTCTTTTCAATAAACTTCAGTAGTGATCAATTACGCGTTTTAATATGAAATTTCCTCAGCGATGTGAGTATAGAATTTTTATTGTGTGCATCGTGTAAATGAACTTCATTTTTTATGTTTCGCACTAACTCTTCACAAATTCCAACTGAAGTTTTTGCGTCAGTATAAACAAATAATTGATAGTGCCCAGCAGTGGCTCTTCAGTGAAGCTTTATTCTAGAATTGTTTTTCGCACAATTGACGAACATCAGTTTAGTTTCTCAGTTGGGAAACATGAATTGGAAGGTGTCAACCCTAGTAGGCGTACTTTATTAACGAATCGTGGGCATGCTGTGCAGTGAGTTGCTTGATTAGAGCTTACTGAAGCTGAACTAAGTGCACACATAAAGTATCTAGTCAAATAAATACAGCACCTAATGAAGTGCACCTTATAATGAATGTGTGCCTGCCATAGATTACGGTTACGTAGCACTTGGCACCGTTGCAAAGTTCATAGTCACATAGTTTTTTGTTAGAAATTTGAAAATTTTCACCTTGAAATTATGTGAAAATGAGGTCAGTACATGGGAAACGAAGGTCGTTTTCGTAATCTGTGCGAAAAACACCTCTAGTGTACTATGGAATTCTTTCCAATAATCTGCGCAAAAATAACGACCTAAGAACTGACATTCTTGTTTCCTATTTTTTGAAAAAAACTTTAATTTTTGTGGAATTGTGTTATTTGTTGACAGGTTACAGTGTATCACAATTTCATTCAAGCAGCTGAAAAATCGATTTTGGATTCTTTTGTGAAGCAAAAGAAGTCAAATGAAGATCATTTTATCCACTGTACTGAGGAAGACAACTTATTGTTATAGAAACCGTCCGAACGTGGAGAACGTCATGACAGAAGTTCAATTTTTGTCAGTAGCATACTATCATGAATGATACGATCAACTTTTCAACTACTGAATATTTAAAAAAAACTTCTAATCAATGTCAAAAATTGATCGCACCTTCACCGTCAAAATATCGATGTCCAACGAACCACCCGAGAAGGATTGCTGGAATCCAACGATAACGGGTCGAAGCTTTGGTGTGAGTTGATAATACCATGGAGTTCTTGAGGTCGATTTCTAAAGTGTTATCAGATGTGTCAATAATTTTCTTAATGAAACATATTGAATGGATCATTTAACAACGCAAATTTCCACACCTTACTGTTGGCAATCGATCTCAATATTGATCTCACCTCAACATTGGTCGATGTCTGATCTCACCTTAATGATCTCAATATTTTTTTTTCAGATGAATAAGCGCTGTCAAATTCTGGTGTGGTAGAAACAAACTCGCTATCAAGCTATCTCTTATCCACTGCATTGATGAAGACAACTTAAAAAATCGTCCGAGCTTGAAAGACTTCAAAATGGAAGTTCAATTTTTGTCAGTAGCATATCATCACGAATGATTCTAGCAACTTTTCAACTAATAATTTTGGATATAATATTGTGACTTATTTTGGTGAACAAGAATATTGTTACTTGGACGTCGAGTGGTTGTTTTGTCAATCGCTGCGAGCAATCGGCGGAATATTTATGTTACTAGAGTTATGATTATTTATTGGATTGATATTTGGCTACGATTAATTGTGCAAAATATTCATGGCTACTAGTTAATTACTCGGTTGTGTTCGGTTGGCCTGCTCGCCTAGCCAGCGGGGTGGCGTAAATTGAGGCTAAAACAATGTGCACGGAAACGTGAGCATTGTGGCCAGCAACTTTACAAACGTTCGATAGTCTGGCCAATCCAGGTAATCCAGGTAATTTTGGTGAACAAACTTCTTTATACGTGTTCCCACTTGGGTATCACACAATTAGATGATGCAAATTTTCCTTGTACTAAAGTATAATGTTTCACAGTTGCTCTATGACACGAAATTACGAATCTTCAAAGTATTAGCGGATATATCCGACACTTTGTCCTGGAATTGTCTTCTCAGTTTATTCTCCGCAGTGGAGAGAGAATTCAATTGTGATCGTTCTATATTTCAGATTTTAAAAAGAATATGCATAGTTCTGAATGGTGTAATGTAAAACATTTGAGTAATGCTCTAATGAATTCATAGAGCAATAAGTATTACCATGTTATGAGCCTTAGTGAATGCATCAAAGAACCATTGCGCTTCAAGAATACTGCACACAGTATCAACATCGCCATTATAGATAAGCA